TACGTGTGACTTCTTTAACATCCATATGCATACATGTAGAGAGAGTGAAAGGACTACAGTCTCCTCTCGAAGATGGATGATAGTTTTTGTGTGTGGAAACTGGAGAGAATAATACACATATTCATATTGTTCTTGCCATTAATTAATAGCCCCAAATTAATAGTTCTATATATATGTATAGATATAGATTTTGGATTTTGAAACCAATCACTTGAGTAGTTTTTTAAATTGTAACACATTTCAAGCATCGAATAGGAATAAACTATTAGATGATTAAAAAGTACTCACAAAGGGGCTTGATTGCAAAAACAATACATTAAATGACTAAATTGTATTTCTTTCTTAAGAATACGAGTAAAAATTACAAACAAAGACTATTTGTGATACAATACAGGGACTGAAATAAAATTTTCAAAACTTATATGGACTAAAACAAAGATTTATGAAAGCCCCGTGCATTACTAAACAAATTTTACAATCAAACAAAGTATTAAACTCCAATCCTTACATCACATCAAATACCAAGTAAATAAAATTCTTATTAACTTTAGGTAGTTCCGGTACTATGAATTTTAATTGTATAAAAAATATTGATGTAGTCTTGGTATATAAAAGTAGTTTGCAAATATCCTAAACATTGAATGGACATAAAAAATTAAAAAGAAAACTTTATGCAGTAGGAATGTAAGATCAATATGCACAAAATTCCTATAAAAATAATCATGAGAGCCTGCATTTTTTATTTTCGATGTCAAAAGCATGAATATATTGCTGCACACATTTTGATCCTCTGCTAATAATGTCAAAACACTTTTAACATAACATTAACTCATTTTCCTTTTCTCTTTATAGATAAATCACTATCTGTAACTATGTATAAAAATTTTGTAGTTGCAGCTCCCATTTGAGATGACTGAATTTGGCACTGGATAGACAGGGCTATCTGTTCATCACCCACCAGTTTATCAGTCTGGCATATGTATGTTTCCATTTTTCTTTATAATTACTGATCATTGTTTTTGTTTTAAAAAATATATACAAAAAAACAAACAATTTAATGTACAACTTTTTAAACGAGGTGATTTTCAAAAATTGTAATAACTATTGTTGGTTTTGCTTTTTTTTCAACAAAGAAATAAGAATAACAATTTTTTATTAATGTTTTCAAGAACCTGAAAATTTTTTTAAAAAAAAAACTTAAATGATATCAAATTAACAATCTCTTAATTTTTATTTTTTGTTGTTTAGAATATGTACTAACAATTTTTTTTACTATACGCAGGGGGACAATAGTGAGCAGCCCGCCTCAGCTAATAATGATCAATTCCCTAGAGTTCACTTATCAAACTAATGATAAATAAACGGCAGCTTATAACATTGACATGTTACGAGTGCCGGAATGTACTAAAAGTACTGTTTTTATTTTTCAGAATTATCTATATGTCCTGAAACTTGACTGATTTGAAATTAAAATAGGGCTGAATTAATGAAAAAACTGGTTAGAAAAATGGCCCAGAAAAACCTGATTGACCCGGCGGGTCGATCCAGGTAAACCCGGCTGTTTATATATATATATATTAAACAAGTTCGTTTTTAGCTTTAGCAGAAAACTTAATTCCCGTCTCTGTTCAAAGTTCACAGCAGCCATATCAGTTGCAGAGCAATTTAAGCTAAACGCAAGCCATACCAGGTAAGTCCCCATCTCTCTCTCCTTTCGAAACCTAAAAAATAACACTGAACACAAAAGTAAAACAAAACAAAATCTATTCTCCTGTTTCTGTCTCCAAAAACCCTAGCTTCTTCTATTATGCCTTCATAACAGTAACCGTAATACGCAGATCCGGTAATAAACCAAAAGAAGAAAAAAAGCCCCAACTCTTGAAGACCTGGAATGGCTAAGTTAGGGCAACAAACTGTGGAATTCTCAATTCTCGTGAGTCGAGCTACCGAGGATTCATTTCTTTCTCTGAAAGAATTGATGGAGAAATACAAATCCACCCAACAATTTGATTCTGACAAGAAGATTAGTCTTTTGAAGTACTTGGTTCACACATCACACTTAACAGTGCATGCTTAGACTTAGTGTCCTTGCTAAATGGTGCTAACAGGTCAAGAAGATTTTTTTTTTTTTTGATTGGTTGGTTTTTGTGTTAAAGAGTTAATTTGATTCACGCCTCAGCAACGTATGCTTAGAGGTGTTTTTTTTTTCTATTCGGGTCAACCTGTAACTTGATTATTGCACCGAGTTGACTATCAAATCAGATTTAAAAACTATACATGTATGTTTTATGAAGATATTGATGGCAGTTACACCGAGTATGTTTTATGAAGATATTGATGGCAGTTGGTTGGGGAATTGCTTTTTTTTTATCAGAACATGAATTGTCAATTCCTCTCTTGGATAGAAAGGACCTTTGTTGTTTCAGTTTCTAACTAGGAAGGTAGAATTTACGTTGATGTTCTTTGATTACATGTTTGGTATTGTAGTGCGCAAGGTGTTTTTTTATAGTGTTTTTATCTTAAAAACACATTAAAATAATTAATTTTGTGAGTTTGTTTTATTTTTAATATTATCATATCAAAATTATTAAAAAACACTAAAAAAATTAATTTGATATTTTTTCAAGGCAGTGACACTTTTAAAAACCACTTGAAAACAAAGGCTACAATATTTTTAATAAGTATATGGTTTGGATTAAGTTTGTTTTTGTTTTTAGATGTTTTTTAAACATATTTTTTCCTTAAAAAAATATTAAATTAATATTTTTTTTAGTCCCTTTCTATTATTTTAATGTTATGATGTTAGAAATAAAATAAGAAGCTAAAAAAAAATTAATGTATTTCTTAAATGAAAAGCACTTAAAAGCAACTTGCTACACAAACAAATATTATAGTTTGAGAGAAATTAAATCTTGATGCCCAGAGTCAATAAAAATGCATTTTTTTGAAAAAAATGATGCTATCTACATATGTAATTTAATATAATTTTCAAAAAAAATTCCGAGAATAATTTGATTTTGATTTTTTCTTATCAAATCCAACATTAACCTTTGTTAAAATCCAGTTGCAAAACCATATTGTAAGCACCACGATAACTCCCTCGATAAAATATGACATCCAAGCAAAGAGAAATGTCGTCATAAAATTCAAACATAAGGCTTGTCTGCAAAATACTAAAGTGACCATTGCATTGCAGTGCATGAAATGCAATTGCAATTGTCTCACAAAGCATGTTCCTTTGAATCTCACTTAGCAATTTAAAGCAACTAGACTTGGTAATAATATATTTAACCAACCTTGAACTTCAATCCACCGTGTCATCAATTTTATTATTTTTATTAAAATGATATTATTTTATTCTTTAAAAACTTTATTTAGTGTTAAATTAGATGAAATCTCAATATTAATAAGGTGATTAACTAAAATTTTAAGTTGTTTAATTAAATAAATTTAATTCTTAGTTCAAATTAAAATGCAATCCATATCATATCTCAAATAGATTTAAACGAGTTTAATAATCATCCTAAGAACTTCTTAATTGTTATAGAAATTATGACTTTTCAAACACGAAACATAAGACTAGAAGTACTTTATCTGTAAAAAAAAAAACTTAATTCTTAACCAATCACACTTTATCTGTAAAAAAAAAAAAAACTTAATTCTTAACCAATCAAATAGCTAAAATTGAACAAAACAAAGAATTTCAATTGTAGAAAAAGGATAAAAAGAAAATAGCAATTGAAATAATGAGCATCAAAATTAAAATAAAATAAAAATTTTATTTTTGATTGAATGGTGGAAATGAAAAGAAATTTTTTTTAACAAAAAGATAAAAAACAATTAATCAAAATAATGCATGAGGATTAAAGTTGAGATAAAAAAATAAAAACAATTATTAAAAGGTAGAATTGAAAAGAAAATTCAATTTAACGAAAGGATCATAAAATGATTAAAAGAATAAGAACTAATTAAAAAATATATTACAAATTAAGATTAAATGATCAAATTGAAAATAAATTAAAATTTTATAAAAAAACAAAAAAAAATAAAAATTAAAAGATTAAGTATTAAATTTAACTTTTTAAAAATTCAAATGACAATTCTAAAATTTTACATGACCAAATGAGATTTTTCAGAGGATGAGAGAGAAAAATGAAAGAAAAAAAGGAGTCATCGGTGCCCTACTATCACTCCAACACCACCGCACATCATTACAAAAAAAAAAGATAGCATTATGGCGCTTTCAATTACATAGCAAAAGTTGGTATTTTGTTGCTCGGAAGTGCAACATGCATGATTGAAACGCACTTGCATTTCTTATATGAAATGCATGTTTTAGTCATTTTTAATTTTTAATAGTATTTTATACCTATTAAAATATCAAAGTTCTTTTTAATTAATTTGATAATAATGTAAATAATAAGTGTGAAAATAAAAAAATATCCCTATTAGTTTATAATTCTTTTATTTTTATAGATATTTTAATCACTTTATTTTGTTTTTAAAATATAAAAAAATTATTTATCTTCAAAATTTTTAATGATAACCAATGAATCTAGATAAATAACCAATGAGTCTCTGTTTGAATGATCGTTGCACCTAATAACAAAACTGTTATTACACTATTTTAGTCATCGATGCTATTGAGCACGAGTTAACGGTGTTTTTGAGAGGGATTTTAACTTCTGCTAATAATTTTATATATTTTGCTACAACTGTTTGAATGATCAGTTGATGTTCATATTTTGAGTTTCGAAATAAACCTTCTTTGCTATTAACGAGAAATTTATCAGCCACTACATGGTAGTGGGCTTTCACGTGGTGGACCCGTAATATATAATGTGATATTTTCTGCAAGTCTTCGTCAATTTTATTTTTTAAAATTCTCGAGTCTTTGTTAACATTTTAAGTCTTGGTCAATAATTCATATTGATATGAACGAATGGTTCCTCGGAGCCACAAATACCACCAAAGCAGCACAAGTCTTGGTCAATAATTCATATTGATATATCTTGTTGAGTCCAGCAGCATGTTATTCATCATTGCACACTTGAATAATCTGTATGTTATTCATTTAGCCATGAATGGTGTATTTTTAGTCTGTCACTATTTTTTTTCAACTTCTCTTGATTCTTACTTCTGTTTCTTCCCTGATTTAAAATATTTTGCAGGAATGAAGACGAGAAAACAGGAGAGAGAGGTAGAAGATGCTGGAGGCATTGTTAACAATGAGAATGGAATCCCGCGATTTAAGACTTTGCAACTGGCTAGCAGCTTATGCGATCTATCAACTTGAGCATTTTACAGATGAAACTGCATGATTTGAGTGGATCTACCGCATCAGAGCCGGGATGACAAGATGCAAGAAAGAGACTACAGAGACTACATTTGCAGCTAGCCAGGCACTGTCATGATAGACCAGTCAAAATCAAGTAGCCGAAGCAGGCCCAAGAAAGAAGAGGAGGTGGAGAAAGAGAAAGAAAGAGAGCCCAACATGACAGACCCAGCCCAACCAGAGAAGAGGAAGAGAAAAGGGAAAAAAGAGGAAGGGAAGGCCCAAACATTCTAGCAGTTGAGCCAGCCCAATTGAGCAAGTTGTTGGGCCAAATGGCCAAGATTTCGTCAATGGTTTGAGGAAACCACAACAAAACATTTGAGCTTCGAGCAAGCTTATGTTTTTGGCGATGTGCAGTCCAGCAAAGCAAACTGGCCTCTAAAGAAGGAGAATGATAAGGTATGACAACAGTTATGACGTAGTCGAACTAGTTTTCCTACAGCCGAACTTCATATCATCCCCTATCGGTCGTTTTTCGGGCATCATCGCTCGGTTTCGTGGAGATGGCTTTCTTTCTTCAAAAATAAATATTTGTCTCTCTCTCACTCTCCGTCTCATACTCTATTTCATCAGGTCCTAAATTCTCTCTCTCTCTGATTATTGTTGTGCCTTTACTTAGGAGTTTTCAATACTTGTCCTTGATCCAGTTGTTTTGTTTCCTGCAGATACCACGCAATTCAATGGAAGCTCCATCTGAACTTGTTGGGGGTACAGTGCAATCCTTGTACATATCTATGATAAATAAGGCTTTAGTTGAGTAGATCTCTAATTTAAATATGTTCATCATTTCTCAAATGTTTTCACTGTGATTTTGTGCTGCTGTTGATGTTGTTTGGGTTGCAAGAAATTTTAAATCTTTCTATTTTTTAAAAAATAGATGGTTATTTAATCGCCATTCAAACACTTTGGAAAGTTAACCTGTTAAAATCAATTAGAATCGAATGCAACTAGAAGGAGATTTGTTTTAAGGGGTTTTTTTAAAAAAAAAACAGATATATAGAGTTGAAAGTAAGGATAAAAATGAACAGCAATAATTCATGGTAATAATGTATTATGGATATACCTTGTTTTGATCCTTGATTTTCTAAGTTCAGTTGGATCATCTTATCAAACATGAAACGAAGTTATGATTAGTACTGTATGGTTAAGCATTTTAGCTCCTTGTGACATGGGTTATCAACCCTGATTTATTACAAAAAAAGAAAGAATAAAGTAGACAATAATTAAGCTTCTACATAAAGAGAATCTACATGGTTTTTATGGAGTGTACAGATCAGTTTAAGCAACTAATCCTTGATTAGGTAGCTAGGGGTGACTATAAATTTTATAACAGTCCTTTCTTTTTTGGAATTATATTAGTCATATGTAGCATGTATAATGGATAAATACAAACGGATGGCTAGAGATTCTTTTCCAGAGAAAATCTTGACAGTACCGGTACCTAAATCTATAAACCATTAATTAAAATGGTGGTGAATTACCAAATACACCAGTAGGTTAACATGCATATACATTGATTGTAATTGAACACTGTAACAGGAAGGATGCTTCACCCGTATTATATATTGATTGGTGACTGTTTTATGGATGTTAATATATGAAGAAAACCAATAATGCTAGGATATTAAAAAGCTAGCGAACGTATTCTGTTAACATAATTGGCAAAGTTTTTTTTACTTTTTTAGGACATATATACTTGAACCATATTGCTATATTTATTTCGAGCTTTGTTCTCCTAAATTTTAAACATGTGAACACAGGTCAAGTTGTCCAACCATCAACTGCTCAAACTAAGAAAGCAAAGAGACGATGGGTAAGTGATAATAAATATTGTCATGAAAAAAAGATAAAAGTGAATGAGCAATATGATCCCCTCTATATTTCTTTTTTCCTGCTTTTAAACTCCATGGATTGTTAATTTATCCTTTTCTCTTTCTATATATATCTACGTGCAACAAAAGATAAAGTGCACTCAAAGACAGTTCAAAAAGCTGAAAGCAGATTATGCTGAGTCTGTGAAAGGCGAAGCCTCCTCCAAAGAAATACTGGATCGCTTGAAAAACAACTTGGAGCAAGCTAGAGAAGCTAAAAGGTTACAAGAGCAAATAGTTGAACAACAAAATCTTATGATCAACGCGCTTCTACAACTTGTAAGGCTGCGATTTCTCTTCCTCCATATATAGATATCATTTTGCACACACTAATAGTTACGTGTGACTTCTTTAACATCCATATGCATAGATAAAAAGAAAGTGAAATTGTATTGATAGAGAGCCAGCATTCTTTATTTTCAATGTCAAGAGCATGGAAATATTGCTGCGCACATTTTGATCAGCTGCTAAAAATGTAAAATCACTTCAAACAAAACATTAACTCATTTTTCTTTTTACTTTATATATAAATCGTTATCTTTAACTATGCATAAAAATTTTGTAGTTGGAGCTCCCATTTGAAATGATGTCAGACAACACATTTGGCACTGAAGAGGCAGGGCTACCTGTCCATCATTCACCAGAAGACCCGGCCATTTAAGAGTCAGGGGCTGCCTCAATCACATCTTCCTCAAGGATTGGCACATGTATGTCTCCATTTTTCTTTATGATTTTTCTTGAGTTCCATTTCTATTTTTCATTAAGAAATAATCAACGGTCATTGTTTTTGTTTTAAAAAATATAAAACTGCAAACAATTGTTGTCAAAATTCTTAAATGAGGCGATTTTCAAAAATTGTAATTATGATTGTTGGTTTTTTTTTAACAAAAAATTAAGAACATCAAATTTTTATTTTTGTTTTCAATAACCTGAAAATTAAAAAGAAAGACAGAAACATAAATGATATCAAACAATCTCTTAATTTTTATTTTATGTTGTTTAGAATGTGCACTAACAATATTTTTTTACTGTACACAGGAGAACACTAGTGAACAGTTCACTTCAGCTAATAATGATCAGTTCCCTGGTGTTTACTAAATACATGTTTGTCTACACGTTGTGTTTCATGTTAAAAAACATAATTTATTGTTTTTGGCTTCAACCTCGCTTTTCACCGCATGGACAAACGAAACTATGATCAAACTAATGATGAATAAACGCCATGAGTGTTTTATGAAGATTTTCGATAATATATATTGGTGGCAGTTGGTTGGGTAGTTTATTTTTTTTATTAGAGCATGAATTGTCGATTCCTCTCTTGGATAAAAAGAACCTTTGTTGTTTCAATTTCTAACTCGGAACGTAGAATTTATGTTGTTGTTTTGTGGTTACATTTTCGGTTTCATGTAAGAAAATATTTTTTTATTTAAAAATATTTTTTAAGTTTTAATTTTATTTTAAAAGCACTGTATCAAAATTATTAAAGAACACTAAAAAATTAATTTGATGTTTTTTCAAGATGAATATATTTTTAAAAAGTATCTAAAAACATGAAGCTACAATAATCTAAGTGCATGGTCGGGATTTGTGTTTTTTTTTTTTAGACATTAAATATGATGATGTTAAAAATAAAATTAAAGATTAAAATAATGAGAATATCAGATAAAAAAATAAAAACAATTATCTTTATTAAATGATGAAATTTAAAATAAAAATCAATTTAACAAAATGACCACAAAACGATCAAAAAAATCTAGATTAAATTTTAAAAAATAGCATATTATAAATTAAGATTGAATGATTAAATTAAAAATAAATAAAAATTTTATAAAAACATAAAAAATTAAATTCAATATTTTAAAAAATCAAGTATTTTTTTTTTAAATATTAAATGTGATGATGTTAAAAATAAAATTAAAAATTAAAATAATGAGGATCAAAGTTCAGATAAAAAAATAAAAATAATTATCTTTATTAAATAATGAAATTTAAAATAAAAATCAATTTAACAAAATGACCACAAAACGATCAAAAAAATCTAGATTAAATTTTAAAAAATAGCATATTATAAATTAAGATTGAATGATTAAATTAAAAATAAATAAAAATTTTATAAAAACATAAAAAATTAAATTCAATATTTTAAAAAATCAAAAAACAATTCTAAAATTTTACATTGCCAAACAAAAATTCTAAGGAAGCAAGAGAGAAAAATAAGAGAAGGAAAAAAAGTCATTGATGCCATGCCGTCACTCTAGCACCACTACACACCGTTAAAAAAAAAAAAAAAAACATTGTAACTCTTTTAATTGCATAGCAAAAATTGGTGTCGTGTTGCTAGGAGGCCCACCAAGCACCATTAAAAGGCACTTGCACTTCTTGTATGAAAATGAACGTGCTTGCTATTTTTTGTTTCTTAATATTATTTTATTTTTATTAAAATATCAAAGTGTTTTCTTGTTAACCTAATAATAATAATGTGAAAAATAAATGTGAAAATACAAAGATGTCCCTAGATGTGAGTTTATAATTTTTTGTTTTTATAGATATTTATTTAATCACTTTGTTTTGTTTTTAAAATATAAAAAAATAGTTATTTTTAAAAAATTTAATGATAATCACTGAATCTTTTTTTTTTTTAACATAGGTGTCCGGGTCAGCTTGCGCGCACCACGACTAATTCCACAGGCCCTGAAGTTAACGACCATGTAAGCCTCCAGTGGCTATCATATGAGTAACCAAGAACTCGAATCTGAAATCATAGAGAAAGCAAATCTTTTAGTTCCAAGTCTTTATCATTTGACCACCACCTAGATGGTTGATATCTTGATAAATAACCATGTTGCACCTAAAAACGGGTTGAATGTTTTTTTATCTTGAACACCACCTAGATGGTTGATAATCACTGAATCTTGATAAATAACCATGTTGCACCTAAAAACTGGTTGAATGTTTTTTTATAATAAAAATAACAAAACTGTTATTACACTATTTTAGTTATCGGTGCTCTTGAGGACGAGTTAACGCTGTTTTTCAAAGGGATTTTAACTTTAATTTTATATATTTTGCCACAATTGTTTGAATGATCACTTCCCTCCGCATTCCATATTTTGAGTTTGGAAATAAACCTTCTTTGCTATTAACGAGAAATTTATCATCCACCCCATGGTAGTGGGCTTTCACGTGGTGGACCCGTAATATAATGTGATATTTTCTGCAAGTCTTCGTCAATTTGTTTTTTTAAAAAAATTCTCGAGTCTTTGTTAACATTTTAAGTCTTGGTCAATAATTCATATTGATATGAACGAATGGTTCCTCGGAGCCACAAATACCACCAAAGCAGCACAAGTCTTGCTGCTGTTCCCAGTTTTGCGACCAACAGACTTGAACCCTTGCTTTGAAGCTGGTTCATGTGTTCGCCCAAACGAACAGGCTATATCTTGTTGAGTCCAGCAGCATGTTATTCATCATTGCAAACTTGAATATTCTGTTTCTTTTCCTGCTCCTAATGATCAACATTTAGCCATGAATGGTATATTTTTAGTCTGTCGCTGTTTGTTTCTCAACTTCTCTTGATTCTTACTTCTGTTTCTTCCCTGATTCAAGATATTTTGCAGGAATGAAGACGAGAAAAAGAGAGAGAGAGAGGTAGAAGATGCTGGAGGCATTGTCACCAATGAAAAAGGAATTCCGCGATTTAAGACGTTGCAACTGGCTAGCAGCTTATGCGATCTACCAACTCGAGCATTTTACAGATGAAACTGCGTGATTTGAGTGAATCTACCACATCAGAACTGGGATGACAAGATGCAAGAAAGAGACTAGCATTTGCAGCTGGCCAGGCACTGTCATGATAGACCAGTCAACATCAAGTAGCCGAACCAGGCCCAAGAAAGAAGAGGAGGTGGAGAAAGAGAAAGAAAGAGAGCCCAACATGACAGACCCAGCCCAACCAGAGAAGAGGAAGAGAAAAGGAAAAAAGAGGAAGGGAAGGCCCAAACCGTCTAGCAGTTGAGCCAGACCAATTGAACAACTTGTTGGGCCAAATGGCCAAGATTTCGTCAAAGGTTTGAGGAAACAACAACAAAACATTTGAGCTTCGAACAAGCTTATATTTCAGTGGTGCCGTCGAGGAAAGCAAACTGGCCTCTAAAGAGAAAGGGAGTATGATAAGGTATAAATAAATAGTCTTAACAGTTATGAGTTATGGCATAGTCGAACTAGTTTTCCTACAGCCAAACTAACAGCCTCCATTGAATAAACCGTATATAAGTAATTACTGTGGTTTTGTTTTCTCTTCTTTCTTTGAAGGAAAAAATAATCCTTTTAAAAATGAAAAAAGCAATTCACATCCAAGTTCCCACTTAGTAATTTGTTTTTCTACCTTGTTTTACCGAAAGGAGCTATTTCATGGTGAATTAAATTTTTATCTTATCAAACAATAAGATATTATATATTGATTCTTGCTTAACAGTTTTCAGAGAATTGATTGAGACTAAGTGACTGCTCGTGGTATTTTTAACTGTTTTTTTTTATGAATTATAAAAATATATTTGTTTTGAAAAATATTAAATTGATAGTTTTTTATATATTTTCTAATGACTTTGACATATTAATATAAAAAATAATAAAAACATTTCAATATATTTAAAAAAAAAATTAAAAACATTTTTTTAAAAAAAAAACATCTTTATGCTGTCATAACCCAATAAATATGTCCCGCGGTCATGATGGTCTGAACCTCATACCTTACCCTATCGGTCGTTTTTCGGGCATCTCCGCTCGGTTCCGTGGAGATAGCTTTCTTTCGTCTAAAATAATTATCTTGTCTCTCTCTCTCTCTCTCTCTCTCTCATACACTATTTCATCAGGTCCTAAATTCTCTCTCCCTCTCTAAATATTGCTGTGCCTTAGCTTGGAGTTTTCAGTACTTGTCCTTGATCCAATTGTTTTGTTTCCTGCAGATACAATGGAAGCTCCATCTCAACTTGTCGGAGGTACGGTACAATCCTTGTAGTGCATATCTATGATAAATAAGTGTTTAGTTGAGTAGATCTCTGATTTATACGTTCATCATTTCTCACATATTTTCACGGTGATTTTGTGCTGATGTTGATGTTGTTTGCTTTGCATGAAATTTTAAAAAAAAAATAAAAAAAAAATTGCTATTTAATTGTCATTCAAACACTTTGAAAAGCTAACCTATTAAAATCAATTAGAGTCGAATACAACAAAAAAGAGATTTGTTTTTAAGGGTTTTTTTTAAATAAAACAGATATATATAGAGTTGAAAGTAGAAAGAAAAATGAACAACAATAATTCATGGTAGTGGTGTATTATAGATATACTTTGTTTTTTTAATACTTCATTTGCTAAGTTCAGTAGGATAATCTAATTAAACATGAAACGAAATTATGATTAGTACTGTGCAGTTAAGCATTTTAGTTCCTCATGACATGAGTTATCAACCCTGATTTATTACCCAAAAAAAAAATAGAGAGCACAATAATTAAGCTTCTCCATAAAGAGAATCTGCATAATTTTTGTGGAGTACTAATCAATTTAAGCAACTAATCCTTGATTAGGTAGTTAGGGGTCGATGACTGCAAGTTTTATAACAGTCCTTTCCTTTTTGGAATTATATTAGTCATATGTAGCAAAAATAATGGATAAATACAAACGGATGGCTAGAGCTTCTTTTCCACTGAAAATCTTGACAATACTGGTACCTACATCTAGAACCCATTAATTAAAATGGTGGTGAATTACCAAATACATCAGTAGTTTAACGTGCATACATTGATTGTAATTGAGCATTATAACAGGAAGGATGCTTCACCCATATTGTATATGTTGATTGGTGACTGTTTTATGGATGGTAATATATGAAGAAAACCAATAATGCTAGGATATTGAAAAGCTAGCGAACACATTCTGTTAACATAATTGGCAAGGTTTTTTCTACCTTGTTAGTATATATATACTTGAACCCTATTGCTATAGTTATTTCGAGTTTTGTTCTCCTAAATTTTAGACATATGAACACAGGTCAAGCTGTCCAACCATCAGCTGCTGAAACTAAGAAAGCAAAGAGACGATGGGTAAGTGATAATAAATATTGTCATGGAAAGAAAGTTGAAGTGAATGAGCAATATGATCCCCTCCATTTATTTATTTTTCCTGTTTTCAAACTCCATAGATTGTTAATTTATCCTTTTCTCTTTCTATATACATGCACGTGCAACAAAAGATGAAGGACACTGAGAGACAGCTCAAAAGGCTGAAAGCAGATTGTGCTGAGTTTGTGAAAAGATCAGAAACCTCCTCCAAAGAAATACTGGATCGCTTGAAAAACAACTTGGAGCAAGTTAGAGAAGCTAAAAGGCTAGAGGAGCAAAAAGTTGAACAACAAAAACTTATGATCAACACGCTTCAGCAACTTGTAAGGCTGCGTTTTCTCTTCCTGCATATATAAATATCATTTTGCACACACTAATAGTTATATGTGACTTCTTTGACGTCCATATGCATACATATAAAGAGAGTGAAATTGTATGGATAGAGAGTGAAAGGACTACGGTCTCCTCTTAAAGATTGATGATAGTTTTTGTCTGTGGTAACTGGAGAGAATAATACACGTATTCATATTGTTCTTGTCATTAATTAATAGCCCCAAATTAATATAGTTCTATATGTATAGATATAGAGTTTGGATTTTGAAACCAATCACTTGCGTAGCTTTTTAAATTGTAACACATTACAAGCATAGCATAAGAGTAAAATATTATATGATTAAAAAGTACTCACAAAGGGGCTTGATTGCAAAAACAATACATTAAATGACTAAATTGTATTTCTTTCTTAAGAATACGAGTAAAAATTACAAACAAAGACTATTTGTGATACAATACAGGGACTGAAATAAAATTTTCAAAACTTATATGGACTAAAACAAAGATTTATGAAAGCCCCGTGCATTACTAAACAAATTTTACAATCAAACAAAGTATTAAACTCCAATCCTTACATCACATCAAATACCAAGTAAATAAAATTCTTATTAACTTTAGGTAGTTCCGGTACTATGAATTTTAATTGTATAAAAAATATTGATGTAGTCTTGGTATATAAAAGTAGTTTGCAAGTATCCTAAATATTGAATGGTATATACGAGCCAGCATTCTTTATTTTTTATGTCAAGGGCATAAATATATTTCTGCACATATTTTGATCCTCTGCTAATAATGTAAATACACTTTTAACAGAACATTAACCCATTTCCCTTTTCTCTTTATATATAAATCACTATCTGTAACCATGTACAAAAATTTTATAGTTGCAGCTTCCATTTGAAATGACTGAATTGGGCACTGGAGCAACAGGGCTACCTATTCATCATCCACCAGAAGGCCCCGCCATTGAAGAGTCATTGGGGCTGCTTCAATCACATCTCCCTCAAGGATTGGCACATGTATGTCTCCATTTTTATTTATAATTTTACTTGAGTCCCATTTCTATTTTTCATGAAGAAATAATTACTGATCATTATTTTTGTTTTAAAAAATATAAAACTGCAAACAATTGAATTGTCAAACTTTTTAAACGAGGTGATTTTCAAAAATTGTAATACCGATTGTTGGTTTTGTTTTCTTTTAACAAAAAATCCCAAACATCAATTTTTTATTTATGTTTTCAAAAGCCTGAAAATTAAAACAAAAGACAAAAACTTAAATGATATCAAACAATCCCTTGATTTTTATTTTTTATTGTTTGGAATATACTACCATATGGTTGAAAAGTACTCAAAAGGGGCTTGATTGCAAGAACAGTACATTAAATATATTTCTGCACACATTTTGATCCTCTACTAATAATGTAAACAAACTTTTAACGAAGATCAACTCATTTTTCTTCTTTTTTTTTTTCTGTGTATCAGTTTTTGTAACTATGTATAAAAATATTGTATTTGTAGCTTCCATCTGAAATTGTGGACAACACATTTGACACTAGAGTTGACACTAGAGAGATACGGCTAGCTATTTATCATTTATTAGTGTATTATTAAAAAATAATACAAATTATATCTTGAAATTTTATTTAATAATTTAAGTTATTGGATTGAGATGATTCTTTGATATGGTATCAAAGTTTTGATAACCAAGTAGTCTAATGTTTAAATTTCATCATCCTTATTTATTTAATAAAAGTTAAGTACAAGGTAATATAAAATTACATAAATTTCAAGTTTTGAAAACTTTTTTAAAAAATATATATATTATAAAATAATATAAATTATATTAGACTTTTTTAAAAAATATATATATTAAAAAATAATATAAATTATATTATAAAAACTTATATAATATTTTAAGTTATTAAATTGATATATTTCTTTTATATTTTCCAGTCAGGAGACTTGGCCATTATGGAGTCATTGGGGCTGCTTCAATCACATGTCTCCCAAGGATTGGAACATGTATATTTCTGTTTTCTTTATAATTTTACTTGCGTCCCACTTCTATTTTCATGAAGAAATAATCAATGTTGTTCATTGTTTTTGTTTTTAAAAATATAAAAAAGCAAACAATTGAATTGTTAAATTTTTTAAACGTGGCGATTTTAAAAAACTATAATACCGATTGTTTGTTTTGCTTTTTTTCAACAAAGAAATATGAATAACAATTTTTATTTAAGTTTTCAAAGGCCTGAAAATTAAAACAAAAGATAAAACCTTAAATGATATCAAATTAACAATCTCTTGATTTTTATTTTTTGTTGTTTAGAATGCGTACTGACAGTGCTTTTTTACTATACACAGGGGAACGATGTTGAGCAGCCTGCCTTAACCTATGATGGTGATCTGCCCGTTAGTCTTGATCACTTGAACAACCCTGATCCGTCGAGAACAGCAATGGCGTCCGGTAGCTCGCCAATGCAAGGTTCACTTGCTCCTCAGAGGCAGGCACGTGCATGTCTCTATTTTCTTTATAATTACCCGCATCTCATTTCTATTTTTCATGAAAAAATAATTACTGATTCCCTCCTTGCTATGTTTTAGTTTTGTTTTTTTTTAAATATATATATAAAAAAACAAATAATTGAATTGTCAAGTTTTTAAAATAAGGTGATTTTCAAAAAAACAAAATAACACTTGTTGGTTTTGTTTTTTTTTAAACATCAAATTTTTATTTATGTTTTTAAAAACCTAAAAATTAAAACAAAAGACAGAAATTTAAATGATATCAAACAATCTCTTAATTTTTATTTTTTGTTGTTTATAACGTGCACTGACAATTATTTTTATTATACACAGGGGAACAATAATGAGCAGCCCGTCACAGCTAATGATGACCAGTTCCCTGATAACACTCATCAAACTTAAGATGAATAAACGGCGGCTTATTAGCAGGCAATAACATTGGCGTTTAAGTTATGAGTGCCGTAATGTACTAAAATTACTGTTTTTATTTTTCAGAATCATCCATGTGTGTTTTATGAAGGCATTGGTGGCGGTTGGTTGCGTAATTTCTTTTTCTGTTTTAGCATGTTTGTTAGTGTGTTTTAAAAAAAAATAAAAAAATTTATTTTATTTATTTTAAATTAATATATTTTTTATATTTTCAAATTATTTTCATTTTAAAAATAATTTCAAAAAAATAAAAAATATTATTAACATATTTTTTAAATAAAAAATACTTGAAAAAATAACTTGAAATATACTATATGAATTGTTGATTACTCTCTTGCATAGAAATGACCTTTGTTGTTTTAATTTCTAACTAGGAATGTAGGATTTATGTTCTTTTGTGTGTAAAATATTTTTTAATAGTATTTTTATTTAAAAATATATTAAAATAATTAATTTTTTATTTTATTTTTAACATCACCACATCAAAATAGTTAAAAAAACTAAAACAAATTAATTTGATATTTTTTTCAAGACAAACATGTTTTTTTAAAAATACCTAAAAACAAAAGGATAATGGAGAATAAATACATGACTTGGATTAAGGTTGCTTTTGTTTTTAGGTGTCTTTCAAGGATATTTTTTTAAAAAAAATATTAAATTGATATTGTTTGTGGTGCTTTTCAATTATTTTAATGTTAAGATGTTAAAAATAAAATAAAAAACTAAAAAATAATAATTTTAATATATTTCTCAAATGAAAAGACACTTAAAAGCAACTTGCAATACAATGACAAATATATCGTTTGAGAGAAATTTAATCTTGATGTCCAGGAGTTAATAAAAATGTAACTTTTTTAATAAAAAAATGCTATCTATATATGTAATTAAATATAATTTTCAAAATATTTTTTCCGTGAAATTTGATTTTTTCATTTTCTTATCGAATCCAACATAAATCTTTATTAAAATCCGGTTGCAAAACCATAGTGCAAGCACCAGGACAACTCCCTTGATAAAATATGATATCAAAGCAAAGAGAAATGTCATGATAAAATTGAAGCATAATTCTTACGGAATCTTGCTTCGCCAGGATGCGAGTTGATCATAAATCAAATGCAATTGCAATCGTCTCACAAAGCATGCTCCTTTAGAAGCATTCTTTTTTAAAAAATCATAAATTTTAATTTTTAACTAATTAAATATTAAAAGTTCAAATTAAAAAAAATTAATTAAAAAAAAATAAAAAAAACAATTAAAAAAACAAGCATTAAAATTAAAATTAAAATTTTATTTTTGATTGAAGGGTAGGAATGAAAAGGGAAAATAAATTTAACAAAAAAATAATCAATCAAAATTGAGATAAAAAATAAAAAAATTCTTTTATTAAAAGTGAGATTGAAAAGAGAAATTAATTTAATAAAAAGATCAGAATGATTAAAAAAATAATATATCATGAATTGGGATTGAATGATTAAATTAATAATAAATTAAAATTTTATAAAAAAATCAAGAAAAAAAATTTTAAATTAAAAAAATAAAAATTAAATTTAATATCTTGAAAAATCAAAGAACAATTTTAAAATTTTACATATCCAAACAAGATTTTCAAGGAACAGAGATAAAAGTGAGAGAAGGAAAAAAAAGTTTATTATTTTATATAACTATATTGCATGCACCTAATAACCGGTTGAATGGTTTTTTATAATAAAAATAACAAAACTGTTATTACACTATTTTAGTTAACGGTGCCACTGAGCACGAGTTAACGGTGTCTTTCAAAGGGATTATAACTTTTGCTAATAATTTTATATATTTTGCTACAACACAAGCATTAAAATTAAAATTAAAATTTTATTTTTGATTGAAGGGTAGGAATGAAAAGGGAAAATAAATTTAACAAAAAAATAATCAATCAAAATTGAGATAAAAAATAAAAAAATTCTTTTATTAAAAGTGAGATTGAAAAGAGAAATTAATTTAATAAAAAGATCAGAATGATTAAAAAAATAATATATCATGAATTGGGATTGAATGATTAAATTAATAATAAATTAAAATTTTATAAAAAAATCAAGAAAAAAAATTTTAAATTAAAAAAATAAAAATTAAATTTAATATCTTGAAAAATCAAAGAACAATTTTAAAATTTTACATATCCAAACAAGATTTTCAAGGAACAGAGATAAAAGTGAGAGAAGGAAAAAAAAGTTTATTATTTTATATAACTATATTGCATGCACCTAATAACCGGTTGAATGGTTTTTTATAATAAAAATAACAAAACTGTTATTACACTATTTTAGTTAACGGTGCCACTGAGCACGAGTTAACGGTGTCTTTCAAAGGGATTATAACTTTTGCTAATAATTTTATATATTTTGCTACAACTGTTTGAATGATCGGTTGACGTTCCCTCCGCACTGCATATTTTGAGTTTCGAAATAAACCTTCTTTGCTATTAACGAGAAATTTATCAGCCACTACATGGTAGTGGGCTTTCACGTCGTGGACCCGTAATATACAATGTGATATTTTCTGCAAGTCTTCGTCAATTTATTTTAAAAAAAAATTCTCGAGTCTTTGTTAACATTTTAAGTCTTGGTCAATAATTCTAAATTAAAATTTTATAAAAAAATCAAGAAAAAAAATTTTAAATTAAAAAAATAAAAATTAAATTTAATATCTTGAAAAATCAAAGAACAATTTCAAAATTTTACATATCCAAACAAGATTTTCAAGGAACAGAGATAAAAGTGAGAGAAGGAAAAAAAAGTTTATTATTTTATATAACTATATTGCATGCACCTAATAACCGGTTGAATGGTTTTTTATAATAAAAATAACAAAACTGTTATTACACTATTTTAGTTAACGGTGCCACTGAGCACGAGTTAACGGTGTCTTTCAAAGGGATTATAACTTTTGCTAATAATTTTATATATTTTGCTACAACTGTTTGAATGATCGGTTGACGTTCCCTCCGCACTGCATATTTTGAGTTTCGAAATAAACCTTCTTTGCTATTAACGAGAAATTTATCAGCCACTACATGGTAGTGGGCTTTCACGTCGTGGACCCGTAATATACAATGTGATATTTTCTGCAAGTCTTCGTCAATTTATTTTAAAAAAAAATTCTCGAGTCTTTGTTAACATTTTAAGTCTTGGTCAATAATTCATATTGATATGAACGAATGGTTCCTCGGAGCCACAAATACCACCAAAGCAGCACAAGTCTTGCTGCTGTTCCCAGTTTTGCGATCAACAGACTTGAACCCTTGATTTGAAGCTGGTTCATGTGTTCGCACAAACGAACAAGCTATATATTGTTGAGTCCAGCAGCATGTTATTCATCATTGCAAACTTGAATATTCTGTTTCTTTTCCTGCTCCTAATGATCAACATTTAGCCATGAATGGTATATTTTTAGTCTGTCGCTGTTTGTTTCTCAACTTCTCTTGATTCTTACTTCTGTTTCTTCCCTGATTCAAGATATTTTGCAGGAATGAAGACGAGAAAAAGAGAGAGAGAGAGGGGTAGAAGATGCTGGAGGCATTGTTACCAATGAAAAAGGAATTCCGTGGTTTAAAACTTACCAACTGGCTAGCAGCTTATGCGATCTATCAACTCGAGCATTTTACAGATGAAACTGCGTGGTTTGAGCGAATCTACCACATCAGAACTGGGATGACAAGATGCAAGAAGGAGACTAGCATTTGCAGCTGGCCAGGTACTGTCATATGATCTACTAGGCAAAATCAAGTAGCCGAACCAGGCCCAAGGAAGGAGAGGAGGAGAAAGAGAAAGAAAGGGAGCCCAACATGACAGACCCAGCCCAACCAGAGAAGAGGAAGAGAATAGGGCAAAGAAGGAAGGGAAAGGCCCAAACAGGCTAGGAGTTGAGCCCATGGCTTCATCGGAGAAGAAAACAAGCCCAATTGAACAGCTTGTTGGGCCTAATGGCCAGGATCTCTTCCAAGGTTTGAGGAAACGACAACAAAACATTTGAGCTTCGAACAAGCTTATATTTTTGGTGAGGTGCAGTCAAGGAAGGCAAACTGGCCTCTAAAGAAAAGAGACTGCGGTAAACTTGAGAGGTATAATTTAATTATTCTAGTTTGGGGTTTGTCTTTTAAATGTTATTTATTTGAGTTGTATAAATTTTAAAATTATTATAAATTGATATGATTATTAATTTTAGAGTTTATAAAATTAATTAAGATACATTCAAACTAACCAATTATTTTTATTTATTTATATATATATATATATATATATATATATCATGTGTGTGTGTGTGTGATAAAGTATGAATAAATAGTCGACATGGTCGAACTAGTTTTCCTACAGTCAAACTAATAGCCTCCATTAATTAAACCGTATGTAAGTAATTACTTTGGTTTTGCTTTCTCTTCTTTCTTAGAAGAAAAAAAATCCCTTTTAAAAATGAAAAAAAGCTAATCACATCCAAGTTACCACTCGCTAATGAGTTTTTCTACCTTGTTTTACCGAGAGGAGCTATTTCATGGTGAATTAAATTTTTATCTTGTCAAACAATAAAATATTATATGTTGATTCTTTCTTAAAAGTTTTCAGAGAATTGATTGAGACTATTAAAACAATATCTTATACAACAATTAAAACAATATTTCAATACCATTTTAAATAGAAAAATATATTGATATTAAAAATAAATTAAAACAATATTCCAATACCATTTTAAATAGAACTTTTTTTAAAAAAAAAAATCTTATACAACAATTAAAAAAAAAAAACCTCCAAAAGCAAACAATCGGCTCAAATCTAACTACAGTCAATGCCATGGTCTAAACTTCATATCATCCCCTGTTAGTTGTTTTTCGGGCATCCTCGCTCGGTTTCGCGGGGATGGCTTGCTTTCTTCAAAAATAAATATGCTATCTCTCTCTCTGATCTCTCTCTCATTCACTCTTCGTCTCATACCCAATTTCATCAGGTCTTAAACTCTCTCTCTCTCTCTCTCTCTCTCTAATTATTGTTGTGCCTTTAGTTGGGAGTTTTCAATACTTGTCCTTGATCCAATTGTTTTGTTTCCTGCAGATACCAGACAATTCAATGGCAGACCAACCAGAACTTGTCGGAGGTACTGTACA